AAGCCTTCTCAAATGTAAACTGTGTACCTTTCTGTAAGCTCAGTTTAACATTTGTGTCCTTTGATTCTCCAAAACCATCTTCCAGTGTCTGCCCTAGCATTATTCTTACTCAATTTTTCATCTCCCTCGATTGCCCTGTTAACAACTAACCGACGCCAAAACAAGCAGTTTCTGTTTTGTTCTCTAAAAGCATGAAAGTTTGTGATGTAGATAATTTGCAGGGAAAAAAAAAAAAAAAAGGAGGATAAAAAGCATGCCTTTGGCCTTGACTTTTTCTTTCTAAAGACCAAGCAGGTAAGAAAGGCAGTAAAATGAAATGGTTACTCACAGTATGTTTGTCTGGGGTGGGATATCAGGGATGGTTTCCAACATCAGATGCATGCATCTTACTGTAGTCCTGAAGCACAGGCAGCGACTAGGGCAGGAGCAGGAGAAACTAGGCAAGAGGAGAAAACACAAAAAGCCTCGAAGAGCTGAAGATTTGATCAGCATGGTGTTTGCTGGAGTGTATTTGCCTCAATTCTGAACTGCAGGGAGCTGACAAAAAAAAAAAAAAAAAAAAAAAAAGTTTCCCAGCCCTGAGGTCCAGGAGGAGGGGACTCATCAGCATGTGTTTGCAATTAAATTAAGGCAGTTTGACAGTCCAACCGCCCACCCTCTCTGCCATTATGTACATCACTGAAGATCAGACTGTTCCCACCCCTCTTTAATTGTGGTGCTGAAATACAAACTCTTAATTTTGATTTATTTTTACCTCGTTTCTTATTTTGAGCAGCGAGTTAACTCCACCTCCTCCCCTCAGGCATTTATCTGAAAGCATGCAGAAAGCACCTTCATGGACAACGACCAAAAAATAAACCCGTGCCTCCAGGGCTGAGCTACGATGCAGATGGCCCAGGGTCAAGTTTTTTATGTCAGTTTTTTTTTTGCCTTAGCACACTCTCTGCAAACTAAGGATAGCTTCTTATCTAACAGCCTGTCAAACGTATCCGGCAGTAAGGCTTTTAGGGTAGAGGCTGTCTCTTATTACATGTAGTTGTAACATCCAACAAAAAATACGTTTCCAACCATTGACGGGAGCGTGGAATACTACAGGTAAGCGAGTTTAAAAGGGAGCTCACTAACAGAGATAAAGAACCTGAAAATAAAGACAAAAAAAAACCCTGACTGCATGCATTCTGTAAAGTTTCTTAGGCAGAGTAGGCACCGATTCGTTTCAAAGACCTTTTAGCTAATATAATTTCTTTCTACAAGGATGCAATTTGGAAAAATGTCAGGATTTGGGAGAAATTAAAGGTAATTGTGGGGTGAAGAGAGAAAGAAACAAGGAAATCAACTGAGTCTGACCTGTAGGAAGTGCAGACCTCAGTTTGTCACTCCCACTGGATAGTAAAATTGAGATGCAAAGGGGAGGACTGGTTTCCAGTTGAATAAAATATAAAGATTTATAAAGAAGCTTAGAATGAAAACAGCTTGTCTTTAGGTTTTAAGTTATTACTACACAAGGTCCTAAAGGTCTGGGTTGAGCACGAGCGCGCAGCATTTACGCTCATGGGGATCAAAAGGTACTTGAGGGATTCCAAACATGGCACCACTCCACATTACCTGGAAGATAAAAATCAAAGTTCCCCATCAACCTTCAGACCTGCTTCATACTGTAAACTACGATATAATTAACATTGACAAAACATTACTTAACAAGAGTGACATTTAAACCTCTCCAATTCTCTTCCTCCTTCAGATTGTCACTTCAGCATTTTGGGGAGAAAGTGTTGGGTTTCGGGGTTTCACTTACATGTCACAGATGGTAAGAGCTGTATTTATTTTTTTTTTTTTTCTCCCAGCTCTGAAAGGTCATTGCACCGCAGGTTTTCTGCGTCTAGTCCTCAGGCAATCTGTTGTTTGTTTGCCCTGACATCACTTTGAAATCTAAGGCAGTTCGCTCAAGTCCTCCCCACTCCACCGGTGGGCCCAGCTCATGGTTTTGAACAGAGTGTCCTCTAGTGGCCACCCAACCTTTTCCTACAAAAAGGGGTTGCGAAAGGCTAAATGAGCTGCTTCAGGCTTTATATAACCATTGGCAAGGTGAATGCTGGCTTTCCACTCGAGAAGTGCATTTGTGTATCCTTCACGTGAGAGAAGACAACACAGGTTACGTCAAAGTCTTCAAGACTTCAGTCGTACACTCTTCCAGCCTGATCCGTCCCCTTAACATCTCTCCAAAACACAGTGAACTCTAGTTAGGACAGGGGAACATAGCTACTTAGGAGCTGCTCTGCAAAGAAGTACTTCTAAGAAAAATAAACATAAATGATCTCTTCAAACCATTCTTCAGTATTTAGGAAAATCATTACCCCCTTCCCTAGCACCTCCAGTCACTCGACAAATACAAGGCTTTTGCCTTTCCAGTTAACATCTCAGTGAATCAACTCTGAGCTCCAAACCAACCATCTGCAAAATAAAAATCCTTTCCGGATTTATTTATATTGCAAACAACAGATCGGTCATGCTTCTATAGGTGGAATTTTAGTTCAGCACCAGGCTGGGCAGCTTCTGGAAGGATTAATGGGTATTTCTCTACTATTTTATGGGAATGGGCTTTTAAGTCAAGTCAGCAGATTTAACAGTGGCCGTACCACAGGGAGTAATCTGAGTGCAAAAAGGTTTAAGTTCTGCAACCACTACAGTTACTTAGAAGCAGATCTTCACTTAAACTTGAAACACACCTCTTCTACCTCGCTTATCTCCCTCTCATGACAGATGGGATGTTTGGGAGATGTTATGAAATGCTAGCAATCACAGTTCCTTTACTCTTGCATTAATTTATCTTATATTCCATCAACATGACAAATTGTTTAAAAGGGAGAGTGCAGCTCTGAACAAGAACCAAAAATTCACTCCCAAGCAACAGGAGTGAAAGTTAATGCTTGTGTCCCATCTTAAGCATTTCCAGCCTCTGCTAGACAGACTTTTTCACACCAGCAGAATGCAAGAAGTTTGGTTTTGGTTTTCACATGTGGGTTTGTTGTTTTTTTTTTCCCCCCACCCTTCTTTGTTTTATTTTTAACTATCACTTCTGTCCCAGTATAAAGATTTCCTTAGCACAGATCCCCTGAGCAGCTCATCACTACTTCCCAGGGAACTGTGATGTTTTATGTTTTACTATGAAGTAAACAAACATTATCTGACAAACTGAATTTACTCGATACCATTTGCATGACACATCCATAGCTTTCCAAAGCAGAAAATGTTTTTTCTTCAGCAAGCATCACGTGAAGGAAAACTTTTAACACTGAACTAGTCCCATGTTATAGTTGGTAAAAGGACATCCATCACACACACAGATGACAGGAAGAAACACAGACTACAGGTAATTATCCTGTGGAATAAAGGTTAACAGAAACATTTAATCAGCAGCAGCTGTATTTGCTGTTATGATCAGTTTCCTATTAGAGCTGAAGCCAAAATATTATTCTCAATACTAGTGACATGAAAGCCTTGAACACCAGCTCTTAAAAATCTGCATTAATTAAGCACTGAAACAGAGCACAGGAGGCAAGAGGGGAGTTGCAGTTGGGAATGCATTAAACTCCTGATGTGTTTGGTTTAGGCAGCTCCTTGAAGTACAGAACTGGACTAAATGACCTCCTGATACCTGTTGTCTACAGGTCCAACAGCCAGGTTAAGTGAATTCTCTCTTGAACCATTCTGATACCTTAAATCTAGATCAGTTCTGTGCGTGCTTATTCCAAAATACATCTTGCACAACTCCCTTACATAAAGGTTTAGAAATCATCAGCTGGGCAGGTTTCTTTTGGGAGATTATATTCTGAGGAGTTCATCTAAAAACTATGCACCTGCACCATATTATTAAGAGCTTTTTCTAGTATTCTAGTCTCTTAACCTTCAATTATGGAAATAAGTACTTATCTACAAAGTATTCTAATCACAACATGATGCAAAGCCATGTTAAGAAGGCTAAAAAGTCTTTACTGAATTTATTGATACAGAAACACTTATTAATAAAGTTTAAATTGCATAACACTTGCATGCCTCAGGCCAATTTAACTCTAGTTTCTACACATAGATTTTTCAACTTACACACTAATGGTCAAAGCAGCTTGAAGTTCTTTTTTTTTTTTTTCAAATTTACTGCAGTATCGAAACCTAAAAGGAGTCACATACAATTGAAGATTACTCAGAACACAAAAGGAAACAAAGCAGGTAAAATCCTAGACAGTTTACAGACTATACAAAAACGGTTATGCTACAATTACTCTATTAGAAATGCATACAAAACTACAGTGCAAGTGCTTGTGCACAGGGAAAAGGTATTTACAGTTCCCCTTCATTTACAGGCTATAAGCAATGCTATTTCACAAGTATATTACACATAAAATTTCCACTATGTATTTGTTTGGATCTGTGGGGGTTTTTGGACAAGGGGACCACTTGACAACCCAGAACATAAATTTCCTGTATATATATTTATTTATTCATCCTTATCCAGGAAAAATAGCAGTTATTTTATGCATCTTATAGAAAGCTACAAAAATCCAGCAAATGTAATAAAAAAAGGCAAATCTGGTGAAAAAATCTGATAAAGTATCTTTTACAACAGGGGGTGGGATGGGGACAAAATTAACCAGGGATAAAGGAAAGATAGTTCTCCCTCAACTGGTCAGCTTTAACAGAATCTCAGCAAGGCTTACTAATACAAACCCGAAGTTTATTGTCTTTTTTTTAAAGCAGCTTCTTTAAAAGAAGTTTCGTAATTAAGAAACTGAAGGATGACCTAGTAGCTAAAAAGGAGGAGGCACCCTGTACTGTGTAGGGGTATGGAAACTGTGTCACAATACAGAAAGGCACACACCTGGTGTGACAGCTACTAAGCAGAAATGCCTCACAAATACAGTGGTGACCGCCTTTGGGGAAGCACAGAGAAATATTACGTGTAGCTTCTATTAAGCTTCTATTTACCACCATATTCAGGATTTTCGTTTGTAGAAAGAAACTCATTGTAGTTGCCAGAATTAGAAGATGGGTACTTGACCGTTTACAGGAAACCATCAGCTCAGTGGCCACAGAACTGCCCCATTTAAAATAAAAAAATAAAAATCTGCAGGAGTAAGAGAGCTTGGGGTACCATTTAGACCAGAAGCAAATATTTAGGAAACCAGAGGCAAAACACAGCCTGCGACCATGGTACGTGCCAGTGGCCACGTGGCACTGTATTATCAGATGATATTCTCAAAAATATTCAAAAAGCCTATTAGGCAAGGAAGAGTTCTCCACTTGGGCTTAGACATACAGGAGTTACCTTTTTTTTTTTTCCCAAAGCCACACAGAACTTCAAAAGAGTATTTATCATCAAGTTGTGCAACTCAGCACCATTAACCGAAAACCCAGCGTATTTTTGGCAAAACAGTCTTCATTCATTCCTCCTCAGAAAATGAGGAAACATCATTAAAAAAAAAAAAAAAAAAAGATACCAACACCATGATACCAACTTAAGCGCTTCTGATGGGGCAATGCCTTAACAAAGCTTCAGTACCTACTGAGAGGGGGTTTATCAAACACACCCCCCTCCCAACTTTAGGAGTATTTCACATCAATACAAGCTCAAGGGTTTCTTTGCAGCCTTTACCAGTTCAGGTAGATTTTTCAAACAGGCTGATCCAAGTAAACTTCCCCTTCTAAACATGGTATCTCTTTCCACCACCATTACAGGAAGACTCAGGAATAAAAATTAGAGCTCACATCCACCGAACTGCAGTGTCAAGTCCTTCTGTATGAGCCTGTTAAATCATCTACTTAATTGTTGCAGGAATAAAATAACCTACCAAGACGATCAACTTCATTCCACCTGCTGTATGTGGACCGTGTGTACACAAGTTATATTCCGGCCACCTTGCCACAGCACAGGCACACACACAGGAACACCTAAAACCTGCATCAATTTGGTTTTCTAGACTGTTTTGAGGTTCTACACACTCTCCACAAAACTATATTTGGCTGATTTACCAGGACACAAGCCACTCCACTCAGGCTAGCGCTCTGCAATTCACTCCATTCAGCCCAGTAGACATTAAGTTATCTCACACACCAGCAAAATCCACAGATTCTGCTTTCACAGCCAGTTTTCACAAACTCACCGCTCTGCATCTCCTCTCTACCCTCTTCCCCATTCAGAATTACTCTGTAAACATTTCCACAGACAACAGTCTACCCTAGCATCCTGTCAAAGCTAATCAGCTTTGCAATTCTTCACTTCCCTCCCTCGCTTTAAAAAAATAAAAAAACCAAAAAACACCCAAAAACCCAAAACCACAGCTTTGCATCTCAGACTAATTCACTAGAACAGGTGTTTCCCATTAAGAAAACCAGTATTCTGTAAAACACTTTTGCCTTTTACTGAAAAATTATATATATAAATTTTAAAGTAAAACTGAGACCGACCAAAGGGGAGCTGATGCTTTCCTTCTCATTCAAAACCTGGATGCCACAAGGGTAATGCCAAAAATTCTTTCCTTTCTGTAAAAGTTGTGCTTTTTCAGATTACTGGAAGAAATAAGATTTGCCAGGTCAGTTTTTACTAATGATCTTCATCCTCCATTAAACACACACCACGGGGTAGACACATGGCAGGTTTAGTGGGAGAGCACACAGACAGCAAAGGTCTTTGGGGAACTGCTTCAGAATATTTAAAAACTGCAATTCGGTAGAGAAGCCACGAGATTTTTAGAGTATCTCTGTGCAGTTAGTTTCAGGGAATTAAATCCTCCTTTCCATAAGCAGCTGAGCATTTCACCAACTTGCTTCCTAAGGAATCCCTGCTGTAGGATAAAACTATAGCACACAACTGAGAAGAAAGAAGAAACCCAAAAAAGCTATAATGTTTAAGTATACAGCAGCCACATTCCCCAGCTAGCCTACTGCCTTGGGTGGTCATATTAGCAGGCAAGCAAGTGGTATACATTTGTCAAGCCCTAAGTAGTACTTTATTTTCTGCCTACTTCCCACTTTCTAGAAGAAGGAAATTACTTTTCCCGGTAATAAAGCAGGTAATATTTCAAGGGATCAGGCAAAGGCAGACTCAAGACTTTTTCTCTCAAAAAGTTTACAGGGGGATCTGGCTTTAGTTCAGAGGGTTTAGTTTCTTCCTCGTCTCGTGCCTCATCCTCGATATCCTCACTGTTGTTGTTATCATCTGATGGGTTGGAGATACGACTTGCGAAGACCTCTTTGTCCAAGAAAACAATAGTTTCCATGCGACGGCGACGCACACGTCTTCGTTTAAATCTTGGGGGGTTCTTCAGCCCGTTTCCATTTTTGCTCATTGTTTCTTGGTGTATAATTTTTTTAATGGTTCCTCGGATGGCTATGCGAGCCAGATCCTGGAGGCTGCGAACAGCCACTGGGGCTAAAACAAAACGAAAACCATGAACAGATATGGAGTAACAGATATGGAGTAACTCCTACGAGTAAGAGTACTCGTAGGAAAAGTTGAATTTGCTCAAATTAAATCAGGCCACTTGAATTCCCTGCTGGGATTACAAAAACAGCTCTATTCAACTCCTGTCAACTCAGATAAACTGTAGTGTAACTTTCCAAACAAAATTTAATTACGCATTTCTCTCATTAACTGAAGAAAAAGAATGGGATGAAAGAAGAGTTTAATATTTTGACATCAAGTCCTCACAATTATTTTAAGATACACATAAGATACACGTCTTAAAGATTTTAAGAATGCAGACTTAGTGACTGAAACTGTGACTGTTTAATAACTTTAAAAAAAGTATTATCCTACTGTAGATAACTAGACCTGAAGTCTATTTAACTCTTCCATAAAAATCGTTTTTCTATTGTAAGGTTGCTTCAGCTTTGCCAAGTTCTTCACTTACAAAACACAAGTACTATTTATGCTCTTCAAAAACTGCTTCAGACTTAGTGGGTGAAGACAGGCTGGAAACCATTTGGTAAAAGTAATTATAGAAGCATACAATAAGTTATTGTATTAAAATACCTCCCACATTAATGGTTTGGAAGACTGTTCTGTCTTCTGCAGTTATGTGCTGCCAGCCCATAAAGGCACAACATAAAACTCATGCAGCATAAAGAAAAAAAAAAAAAAGCATTGATGCACACATATGCATGTATTAAAATAAAACTGAATCAATAAAAAAAAACCACACCTGTCTTCTACTGACGAGCAAACTTTGCTATGACCTGACTGAAGGAACCAGACAAAAATGACATGTAAAACATATGCAGGTCTCTGTACAAAGCGTGCTGAAATATGCACTTAATGGACTTTATGACACTGCATGGAGACTGCTTCCTGAGCTGCTTTTTGTCATGCAGAGACACCTTTCCAGAATAAGGACAAAGCCTGATTAATCTCTTTATGGAAGTATCTCTATCTTCATGCGTTCTTAAGAGGACTCTCTACATCAGAGCCTTAATCTAAAGATTGAGGCCACCGCATACAACCTGCATTTCAATCAGCTAACCAAAAACTGCACAACTTCTATCCCTCAAGCGTTCCAGGTTCAGGATAATTCTGAATTGCTGGGCGGTGACAGCCTCTGAGTAGATATAATATTTGTTCACAGGTACCGCTTGTGTGTTTTCCATCACCATGGCACAGCGCCTGAGAACCACCACGACAGTACGTAATTCAGGCCTGGAACTGATGTCTGCATGTGCAAAAATCCCACCACACATCCCAGAGTTTAGGTGCAATTTCACAAGAAATCATTTGCATTTCCAATCTATTTTATGCAATTCTGACTCTTGCACCAGGTCTCCACAGATATCCTCAAAGATAGACTGGGATGCAACACAAGATTTAGACAACTGTTCAAAGAAGGAAACAGTTGAAAGGATTCATAGGAATCAAGGTGCAGCTTAGAGCCAAATAGCAAAAGAAACCTCCCCCATACTCAGGAATGTCTGTACTCACGCAAGTGAACGAGCCTTGATTTTCCTGAATCTGCGTGGTTAGGCTGAATCAAAGGAGCAAAAGAAACAGCAAGAATCTTCTTGGTCTCCCAGGCAGAAGGACCAGTACGAGTTATCTTAGTCAACTAAACCAAAACAAGGAGATTATTGTCCATTGTGTGAGCCATAGTAGATTTCTGAACAAGAAAAAAAACGAACAAACAACTTTTCTGCCTGGACAAGTAGTTAAAGTACTAGATGCTACAACAGTAAAAGTTAGATAATAAGGAGAAACACTGATGTTTTTTTGAGAAAACTGAGAATTCCTTACAGGATTAGCCCCAAGTAACTTCATCTGTTACAAAAGAGCAGTTTGAGTCACCCTGCTTCCCCAGATTTTCCTCAATTCTGAGCCAGCACAGCTATGTCTGACCACTGAGAAAACACATCAGTCAGCAACGAACACTCACTCCTGAAGGAAGTCTGCAGATCACCGAATTTCTGCTCCAGCTCAAATCTCCTGCACCAACTCACTGCAGCGCATCTGACTGGGAAGAAAACTGCACTGTGCTCATCTCAACTACCCTGACAGAGGTGAAAGGTCAGATACCTCCAACTCAAAATTCAAGGCCGTTAAAACAACGCGCTATTACACCAAAAAAAAAAAAAATCTGAATTATAATCTTGAGCTCACACACAGGGCAGTTTAGTTTTACTAAAAGAGATCCATTGACACCTGTAAATAGGGACCACCTGCGCTCTCTTTCATAAGACAGTTAGGGTGTAAAATCTTGTATTTTGAAATACAACACTATTTATACAACCTGAACAAAGCCTTGCTGACGTTTTTCTGCAGCATTAAAGTAAATTTGCAATTAACAGCAACAGATCGGAATATGTCATAAAAGACTGGCAGAACTATGAGTTTCTTAAATATTACAAAGTGTGCAAAGTTCAGTTTCCACTCAGTGAAAACTGGTGCACTTAATGCTTTCCTCAACCTGCTACAAGAAGGGCAAATTTTAAAATTAAAGAGCTACTGACTAAATCGAGACCAGAATTAAGAATAATTGAAAAAGAAACACGGGCAGAAAGGCACTCAACCTTCTCTTCTAGAGGCATGACAAGAATTCCCCCGACTTTCAACAGATTCTTCATATAATCTTCATGTTCCTTCTGCACGCCAGCACCACAGTAAACACGGTCATACTGAGTACAGTCTGGAGAAATCTCTAAACAATTGCCGGTAACAAAAGATGGTTCACAGAATTCAAATCTGAAAATGAAGAAGATGAGTATCATGCAATAATATTACACTTTATCAAAGACTTTTTTTTCATGATTCTGAAAAAAACACAGCAATGAAAAATACTTGAAAAAAGGTTTCACAGCATTTCTGCTCCAAAGACCATATATTCCAGACATTAATCAGAACCGACCACGGCTAGAAGTCTCAAAACCACAGAACAATGAGGTGAGAATTCAGATTAAATCTCCAAAGGATAAGGATGCGTGATTTCATACTTGATAATTGCATATAACTCCTCAGAACGAGCTATTTTTAGCCACCTGATGCTGACCCATTATAATATGCAAATATAAATATTAGACCTGCAATTCTAAATGTTAAGGTCCTTTAAGGATCACACCAGGGGTTTTTTTGGGGCGTTTCCAGAAGCTTTTAAATGGTTTTCAGATGTTGTGGGGAACTATCACCTGACACTTCAGAAAGAGGCTTTGCTGAAGCCAATGGAAATTTTGCCATTAGCTTCAAAAGAACTGTGATTTCACCCTTCATAAAAAGAATTTTCACCTATATCATTTCTGATTCAGTTTAGAAGTAAACGGTTCTATGATGCTTCTGGTTCTCTTACATGCTCCAAAACTACATAAGCTTCAAGCCCTACATTCGAGGGCTGATTTTGATGGAAGTTGTACAACATATCCATTCTTCTACTGGTATCTTGAGAGGCAGCTCAATATAGCACCAATTTATTCCTAAACACTTCCTGAAGCTTTCTGCTTTTGCAAAGCGTGCTAGACGTTCAGAGCAGCCAGCTAACAGTTCCTGCACACGGTGTTCCAACAGCATAACCCAGCAGACATTTCTCTCAGCAATGCCAACTTTCCAGCCATGCTGATATCTGAATTCAGCTCACTGTTGTTCCATAACTCCATTTGTCTGGAGACAGTGACTTCCTTAAAACACCTATTCAAACAAAAGCAATGTGAGTCTGGGAAAAAAAAAAACAACTATCATCTATGTGCAAGCACCATCTGTGCTGAAAACTTTCAGTCCGCTGCCAACATCAAGAAAATACAGCCCCATCAGCAGCAGCTTTCCAGTACAGCAGTAAGAGCACAGGGCTGAACAGTTTAAATTCCAGCATATAATACCCTTTAATTTTCTTCCTCCCACGAGAGGAGGCCTATCAGGTATCCAGAGATGCTTTACTTCCCTGTTTGACCAAACTGCGAGGTGGATCCAAAAATATGACAGCTACAACTTTTATTGCTGAAGTTACTACTGGCAATGGTTATCTTGCTGCAGTTATTACTTGTGACAGCAGCAAAACGGAGGTTCTAAGGAACATAAATCAAACACCAAGCAGTTTTAGTACCAACTTGATCATCATAAAACCACCTTCATATTTTAAACCAGCATTTTTCTTCTTCTCGGATAAAACACGTTACACCACCAGAGAAATCAGTTCATATTCTTCTGATAATTCTCAGATCAAACAGAACTATTATTGTTACTTGCAAGTTTCAAATTGTGACCTGAAAGTGCATTTTCAAGTAAGTAACCTTCTTCAGCTTCCTTTAAGCTCTGCAACAGCAGCAAAAATTTCTGAAATTCCCCCTCAATACCCATCAGCTTCCAAGGTCACACACTGCAGCTCAGCAAACCTAAAGAGCCAGAATCCTCAGATTACCCGGAATCCAGAGCTGCCACATGGGAGCACGTACTGCCAGGACTAAAGCCAAATGCACAAAATGAATCCAAACGGGCATTCCACATTCTTACTTGTCAAAGCTGTCACTTGTTTTAATGAAGAAGTCCAATTTCTGCTTCGCATATTCGATCACGTCGGAATGAAGCTCCACACCGTGGTTAACGCCAAAAGGACCTGCAAATTCAGAACACTAGGATAACGGTAACGAGCAACAACACAAAATCCAACGGGACTGAATACAGTTCTGGTTATTGCCTCTAACAGATTGCTCCTGGAGTGTCAGACAGAGCCTGGGTAGGGTCAGCTATCTGAGTACTACAGTGGGAGCTGGAACCCTATACCTGCAATTTCTGGCAGCAAATGAGGCCGTTTTGCACAATTGGTTTTGAATCGTTTCCTCTTAACTATGCAGGAAATTCCTCGGTAGGAGGGCAACACTGACACCACTGCCGTAAAACTGACCACCTGGAAAAAAATCCAGTGCAGAACAATAGCCTGCATGTTTTAATACCTCCATCAAAACAGTATTTGTTATTTTTATACCCCCTTGCTGATATGCTAAAACTCTCCTCAAAGGAATCAGTCCACCATACACTGCACCTCAACTAACAGCAAAAAATCAATAAGAAAATACAGAAGTTTTTCAGCACTCACACTTTTTATCCAGGAATGACTTGTTAACTTTTCCAAAAATTCAAAAAATTCAAAAGCCCTAGAGTTACATATTGGCATCCTAGGTAATCTCAACAAACCCAGCAGAAAAGCACAAGTGGGAGATGGGAGTAAGGCTCTTATCCTGACAAACAATTCAGCCGTTATAATTCTTGACACCCCCACAAGAGGAAAATATGTACCCTATAGTCATTTGCTATCTATCCTGGCAGCACAGCTGCTGACTGAAATACTTAAGGGCAAATTGCAATCGTGTAATTGCACTTTGATGCTCTGCACCTACTGCAGATGTGGTCACAAAGCCAGTTTTGACGCACTAGCTGCTTTCCAGAGACTATTCTCACCTCGTATGTTGATGAGAATCAAAACTGGGATCTCAAAACATGTTTCAGTCTAGACAGCACAGTGTAAAAACAAACAAGGCATGAGGCAGCTGTAGTCACAGGTTTCTGCAGACATGCTCAAGCCTAGTTTAAACATGAGCTGGGTTCTTAAGGGGCAGCAAACCCAAGTTTGTGCCCAGTCCTGCAGGAATCCACTGCAGGCACCTCTGCAATTGCATCGCTGCCTGTTCTGAACTGCCACAGGAATCTGTATCCCAGCCAGTTCCAGAGAAAAGGTTGCAAGAATCCCAACAAACTGGCCAGTTGGATTAATGCATTCTTTACTTGTTGAGCTCCCTTTTAGTTTCATTACTTGAGGGATGCTTCGCTCCCAAGTTCAAAACTTTTCCTTTTTAAATCTAATATAAAGGGTTAACGTGATTGAAAAAGTATTTACCCAAGATGAGTCCAACCATAGAACTCAGATAACCAGTGCCACTGCCAAGATTCAAAAATGACAGCCCTGGTTGCAGATCCAAAGCTTCCATCACCTCAGAGTAAATGCACGGTGCTGAGAGATGAATATTTCCATGCTTCCACGCCAGGTCCTTGTAGGCATTGTCTTTGAACTCCTCCAGGTAGTAATCTGCTCGATCAATGGCTCGGAACGCCTGCTCCACCAGTTCTGTCCGGATGTATTGTGCCTCCTTCAGGTTATCAATTAATTCATCATTATCTTCTCCTGCGCTCACCGCACCTCCCATCTTCAACAGTTTTCTCTGAGCGCTAAAACTAAAAGAGTAACAAAGGAAGGTGAGGTACAGAACATGCACTCGGACACTGAATCACACTGATGTACGCTGAAGTACTCTGAGAGAGACTTTTAGGTTCTCTGAAGACCACAAGCACCAGAAAAACATTACAACCAACACCCCCACCCCCATTCAGACAATGAAAACCAAAATGCAGCAGATCTGGCATCTAGTACCTGACACTAGTGGGGAAAACCACAATAGACAAGTTAAATGTGCAACGCCTGTCTTCAAACACAACCATTTTACCGGCATGTCAGCTTTTCCACTGAACCCTTTTATATAAAGGATTATTCCAGCTCCTATGCTTATAGGTCATTTTTCATTGCAAATCCAACCAACAGTGCAAGTTTGGCTTGCCTGTCAGAATTCTTGCCACACGCAGACTTTCTATCTCTAATAATATCAAAAGGAAATTAAGAGACTAAGACACGGGCAGCCAGAACCAGAAAAATGTCGAGTTACATTTTCTTTGAACGTGCATCAGGATGCTGATTTCATAGTTAGAACTCTGACCTAGAGCACAAGCTTGCTTATTTTAGCAAATGCACTTTCACACGGCTCATCTTTATACCTTGAGCCATCACCACTAGTAAAGCACTTAACGATACAGACAGCAAGTGCAGAGAGAATTTCCACTGAAGCCTGAGGAACTCCTTAGGTCCTCTGAAGTCCCAGATGAGCCAATTTGGAAACTTTTCAGTGACACAGATTTATGAATTACAAACATGTCTGACCTCACAGACATGATTGTCTCCAGCAACTTGCTCAGGCCTGTTGGTGTGGGGAAGAAAAGCAAACACCTTCCTTGACTGTGCATTACCCTAAGCATGGCTATATGCTTCATGTAGTAAAATTTCTGTAAGTTTTAAAGCAAAAGGTACAGGGGGAGAAGAAGATAGAAGAACTTATCACTCAAAATTAATCTAGCTTCTCTTCCTTTCCCATATCCTAAAAAAAAAAAAAAATCCTTTTCAGAAAACACAACATGATTTTTTTAAAAAATGCATTTATTTACAATGCCTTTCTCTGCTCACAGTAACAACCACAGAAGCAGCAGCTTTAGAGTTCATTCCTGGGATCAGAAGATCTGCCTACAGCTAAATTGCTGGGGTTTATTTGTTACATTCAGAGAGAGCAAATTATATACTTTCATTTTCAGAGGAAACAAAGAAAAGATACAGGAGTCTCAGGAAATTTCACAGTTATTCAAATTACAGGTAATCAGGATGGTATGTTGAGACACACAAAACAGGATATACTTAGGCAGGGAACTCAAGCCAGTTTTTAATACATTCATGTCTCAAACACAATCAATCCAGCTTCATTAGTGTAAGACTTTAAAAAATGCCACCCCTCTCCTTTCTATACTTACCCCTTCATTTTGTCTACAAAAAGCGATTGTGTTTTACTACTTCACAATGAAAACACATCAATTTGAAGGCTTAGGTGGGTTCATCAGCCAATTTGTGTATGTAAGAGGAGAAAAAAAAAATTAAATAATCACATCTGCACATACAGGGTCACTTATACCTTTGTTCACTATGCATTATATAACATTCTGCATTAAAATCTTCCCTGAGGGTGTTGATTCCCTTGACTTTCTTTTGTGTTAGTTTGTTTTTAGGCTTGCTTCTTTCTTCCACTTAAGCTCTTTTTGCTACTAAAAAAAATCTAAACTTTAAAGTACGAATAAAAAGTTGCACCTTTAACAGCGTTTCGGTTTGGATCCCCAACAAATTCTTTCTGATGATGTACACAAGCCTCACTGGGACAACTGGTCTGACCTGGTTTCAGCTCAGCTATATGATCAACAACAGCTCTTCTATGGTCCACAAGATGGAGGACATTTTTCTAACAAGATCAAGGAATATCCAAGTTGTGAGGGGTGTCAGTCACTTCTGAAATGATCGCTTTTATTGGATCCTTGCCCATTTTCAACAAAATGCATGTTTTATATGCAGAACACAGACATTTAAAAACCTCTTCACATAATTCCACATCTTTATTCAGCTTTGTTTCCCTTCTCCCATTGGAAGCGGGAACTAAGACTGTGAGTAGGATTTAACAAACTTTTAAAAACAAGATCCTCTCCCTCCATAACGAGCCCAGTTGCACTTTTCACGCTTCTAGGTAAAGCACCGATTTCCACAAATCTGAACAGGGACAAAGTTCACATGCAACAATTATGATCGTTAGCTGATCACAACACAGGTATCAAACCAAGCAGCCTTTTAGTGTTGAAACATCCCTTCAACTGCACGTTGCCATCTTCCCCTTTAAGAAAAACAAAACAGAAAAACAAACAAGTCTGACGTGAGAAGCTGCATTCAGACGCCTGACACAACCACTGAGATTAAAGCCATTTCTTCCAAGGCAAAACACCAGCAGATGCCACGGGGGAAGACTCGAAACAATACACAAGGCACAAAAATGCAATTCTTCACCCCAACACGTTTCCAGGGTAATCCCTGCTCTGACATAATACGCTCCAGAAGAAATAACAAAGGTGAGGCTATTTACCGATTTAAAAAAAAAAAAAAAAAGTTACAGTTGGCACAGCATTCAACCCGATCCCTTGTAACCCTCTCAAACAACAAATTTAAAAGCCCCACGCTGTATAGCTCAGTCACTACCTGCGTTATCAGGCTGCTGGCGAGGAAAGTGACGGAGGTAAGAGCGGGAGGGAGCTCTGGGGAAGCCTGGTGTTGCTATCTCCCCCCCCCCCCCCCCAT